CAGCCTTCGCTGGTGACTGCTGTTACTTTTCCTTTACTCTGTGTGCCACTGCTGCACCAGCGGTCAGGAATGAAAGACTTTTTGGTGACCTACATAATTCTCCCCATGAAATGGGATGACTTCAGACTGGTTCCCTATGGTAAACCTTTTTCCTTGATTTGGCTAGGTCATCTTAAATAGCTCCAGCTAATAGCTGGTAGTTTTGAAAGCTTTTTTTTTTTATTTCTCCCCCCTAATGTAGAGGTATTGCAATACAAAGGGAAGGTCATTAGAAAGGCTCTCACGTATACATAGAGAAGTATGGATCAAGTGAGTGACTAGCTGAGAGTTCCACAGAAAATCCAGAAGAGGACTGGAAAGAAGCTGCGAGTCCAGACTCCCGGGCTCCTGTACTCCGTCTCCAGTCGCTCTGCCTTCCAGCGTGCTGTAACCTGTGCTTGAGCTACCAGAGATGCAAACCCTGCATTTGCTTTTCCCAGGGAGAGGAAGAGGCAGGAACTTCTGCAGCGTTTGAGATCTCCCCGGTGCAGTGACTCTGTGCTCCTTAAATATATAAAATCAAATTTAAGTTCTTGAGGGCAAAAAAAGAAAAAAAGCCTGTTGCGTTTTCCTTACTTAAGGCATTTCATGCTTAAATCTGGTGCCGGTGTTTGACAGCTCTTGTTTCTCCTCTGTGCCCAGACATGCCGTAGGTCTCGTGTTTCGCTTCAAGAGCCCTGTAGCTTGGCTTATTTTGCTTGTAAGGCTGTTAAACTCTTGCACAGCAAATTTGCCCTTGGAGCTGCAAGACCTACTGCCAGGCACAAAGTGCTCAGCAGTGTGACTTTTTGGCTCCAGCAGACCCCAAAGCACAGGCTGTCATATGCCTCTATGGGCTAAATTTATTTGTGAGAGAAGCCTTGTTGCCTTGTGTGCTCATGAACCGCTCCGGTGTCGGCGTCTGCTGCACAGACCGGGAATAACGTGCTGGAGCCTGTGTCAGCTTGTGCAGGAGCCCTGCATTGCCCTCCTTCGCCAGAATACAGGAATCTTGTGCAACCGGAGGCAGCAACATTTGGTCCAGCAGCGTCTGCCAAGGTGAGGGTGCGATCTGCCAAGCCAAACAGGATTTCGTTGTTGCTCGGTTTGCAAGAAGGGGAAGGGCATTTCTAAGAGAGGCGAGCAGCCGGTGTTATTTGAGATGCTGCTGGCTGGAACTGGCCAGGCTCTTGTGAAGAGGCTCCTGGGGTGATTTCAGGAGTTGGCTCCCCAGCACGTTTGTGAGATCTCATGTAGCTGAGAAGTGCTGGCATTGACTGGGAGAGCAGCCAGGGGCTGTGCGAACAGACTCGGTAGCTGTAGCAAAGATTTTTAGTGGCGACAGTTGATGTGTGGGAGAAGAAAATGTATGTGTGCTTAATAAATATTGGCACTCAGCAAGAGCTGATCAGCTAATTCAGTGCTGCAGCTTCTGGAGAGCTGGGTTGTCTCTGCCACGTTGAAAAGAATCCCTTCAGATCAGGGGATAAATAGAAAATTAACATGAAAAATACATCTTTTGAATGGTGCTAATTTAATGCTGACTTAGCTGTAGGACAGTTCTCGCCTGTCTACCCGAGCTCATGCAAGAGGCAGCAGCAATACCTGCTTCTCCTCACGCCCCAGGCCCCGTGGACCGTGTGTGCAGACATTGTCCCACACAGAAGAGGGCTCAGAATAGAGCAAACCCTGCAGATTGGGTCTTCTTGTTACCTGCTGGTTTGTGTGGTATGAACTCCTGGCTTCTGGGAAGGAGAGGCACGTTCACAAGCTGTGTTTCAGAGACTTTTAGGGTTGTATGAGTAGAGTAGATGACCTTCAGAGGTCCAGTCCATCACCTGGCCCTAGCTGGGACCGACTGCCTATGTGTCTCTGTGGCCTGTCTTTGGAAACCCCCCAGTAATGGAAACGGCCTCTTCAGGTTGCCCTATTCTGGTACACCTGCTGTTAGAATGACTAAACTAGATATTCCTTGCCACAGTTCAATTGCCCTACTACTTCTCCTGTCCTCCATAGACAGCTCTTCCTTTTTTTTTGGCAGTGACAATTCACATGTATGAAGACTTTTAATACATTTCCCTTTCTTTAATCTTCCCTTGGCAATCTCTTTCTGTGCCCCAGATCACTCTTGTCACTCTCCCTGAAACTGTCCAGTGACTTGTATCTGTTTTTCTTTAATGCTGCAACCAAAGCTACACAGAATTCCCTAGCCTGTGGCAATGGTGAAAGGATTAATTTGAGTCTTGCTGATGATATTTATGTATCCCAGTATATTTGGCTGTTAGTTTGCAGCATTGTAATGGTCTCTGATTTCTGATGCATAGCTCTTCTGCAAGACAAACGCAACAGACTAATTTTCTATGCTGGCAGGACATCATATTCTTCACCTCCTGTCCTTTTTTTGTTCCCTCTTCCCAGCCTGCGTACGCGTGCGCGTACCTGCAATGCCGTCCACCTGCACATCAAGGCAGTGCTGAAGCAACAGGTGTTCTGCAGGATCAAAGTGATATTTCCCTTTAAATTCCTCCTGCTTTCCAGGGAGCAGCTTTTGATCTTTTACCTGTTGCTTTGTTCTTTCTCTGCTAAGTAAAAGCTAATTAAATGTTGCCTCTGTTGGCAGAGGAGTTCTGCACCTCTGCCTGCGTTCCTGAGAGCCCCTGGGGAGCTGCAGTAGGACATCACACAAGCTTGTGCTTCACACGTGCATCTCCATCTGCTGTCCTTAGTAGGAGAAGCTTGCTCCTGTTTTCTGAGGGAGCATTCCCTGGCCAACAGCCGCAGCCGCCTGATACCACCTTCCTCCCTTGCATGTGCAGGTGTTGCGCTTTTAGATTCCTGATGAAATAGCTGACAGAGCTAAAGGCATGGATATCTAGGCTGCTTTCAGTCTTGACAGCAACGGGGCACAGCTGAGCAGTCTGTGCTGCCCACAAAACGTGGTGGTAACAGATGACCCTCTTCAGATCTGCCAGAAGCTGAGGGCCTCTGATGCCGTACAGGTTGCTCCACATCACTGCTTTGGACTCTCTCAAGGCTGTGATGAAATGCTGTGTTGTAACTTGGTGGTGGGAAGGAGGAATTGCAGCAGAGTTTACTGTCTGTGTTCTTGCAGGGTGCAATGAGAGGAAAGGTGACTTGCTCTTTAAATATGGTTGAGGCAAATTACTTTCTCCAAGATATAACCCAGAGCCTGACACAGTACTGTGTTTTTTGGCAATCCGGACAAGAACAAGCATATGGCTCCATTGGTGTTTGGTTTTCTGGGCTGAGATGTGAACATACGTGTTGTGTTTGGTGCTAGAAGGAGACATGGGTGCAAAGGACTTGCAAAGTAATTCTTTTATCCTAAACACTTGCTGGGCAAGTACATAGCAAGGTTGAGGCTTCTCCATCAAGTTCCAGCAAAGCCTGAAATGCAGAAACTGCTTATGCTGTGATTCAAGCTGACAAATCTAGCGATTGCCAGTTAAACAAATAGTTTGTCCTTTAATGAAGGCTCTGTCAACTGCTTGGCCCTCTCATTTGCAATCTTCTGTATGTACAAATCTGTCAGAATCAGGACAGCTATTTTCCTTCCCTGCAGCTTTCACTCTGCTCTTTGGGAAGTGTTGGTTTGTGTTTGCCCTCTCTGCCTTCTCGCTTCCTTGTTTGTCTGGAGATACCGTTAAAACCCTGTTTAAAGAAATCGGAGCTAGTCAATGTTTGATGATGCTTGCTTTAGGCCCCTAAATGTTCCCTGCACACAGTGCCCCAATAGTACAAGTCAGGGCCTTTCTGCTTTTCTTTTTATTTCTGGCTACCCCTGTTGCGCGCTCTGTGGACCGTGGTGTGGGACTTGTCACAAGGAACGCTCTGAGCCGATCTCTCCAGGCGCTGCCCCTGGACCTGGCACCGTGGCGATGTGTGGTGTATGCTAGGTCGGACCGGCCTGTTCACAAGCAAGTAAGGCCGTGTAAATACAAAGGAACAAAAGCAGATGTTTCCTCTCCTCGTGTACTTTTCAGCAGAACAAAACTGCCGTGCCTCTGATGGTCTGCAGCAGCAGGTAGAGCCTGCTCTGTGTTGAATTGTGTTGGGCTATCTGTGGGATTGCTTCGTGCAAGACCTGCCTGCTGTTTCTTCTTCCTGATCTGTTTGCTAGGCAGTTTATAGCTTGGGTGACCCCTCTGGATTCGCTGTAGAGCTCCTCATCAACAGCTCCGATGAGGAGCACGTCTCATTTGAGTACAAAGCTTACTTGGTGATTAGTTGGGGATCATACTCCACAGTTAGCTAAAGTTACCTATTGATAGATGAAATGTTTGCCTTGAGTTGGCGTGCCATACGCTGCTATTGGAGTCTGTCCGCTCTGTTGAACATGGGTCTCTTGCCACTTATCTCTGAAAAAGCTCTATTTAACCATCACTGCTCAAAAAACAAAACAAAACCCCAACCCAAAAACCTCAAATGCACAGCAGGATTATGCAAAAATTGGTAAGCACAAGATGAGCTTGTTTTGATTCATGTTTTTCTGGAGATCGGTGGTTACTGTGGATGCAGCAGCAGCCCCTTGTTCAATGTCATGGTCTCAGCAGTTTTTCTGTGCTGAAGAAATCCTCCAGGGTCTACTCTGACTCTCTTTGACATCCCCAGGACAGTGACACATCGAGCAGCTCTGCATCGCTGAGCTATTCCCTTAATGGGCAATTTTCAGTGACAAGCGTTACTTTTCTCTTTCCTCCCCACAGTAACTATTAGAATGTGGGTTTTTTGCTGCCTTCATATTTCTTCGTTGCAGAGAAAAACATCCCAGGATTCTGTACTTCAGCATCTTTAAAACGTAGAGGTGATGTTACAGATCCAGAGCATTTGGAGGCTCTTGCTTGAGTTGTAGAATTGATGCAGCAGTTGATGGGAGACCTGTTCCTTCTCAGACAGCGGTAGGCACGTGCTGTGCTATTGTTATGTTTTATTCTAACACTGTTCTTTCCTCCTTCTTGGCAGATCCTCTGAACTTGGCTCCTGATTAAAGCTGACAGATAATGGAAACATTTCCTTGGCGATGTCTCTGGGGCGACTCCTCCGACGTGCCTCTTCAAAAGCTTCAGACCTCCTGACCTTGAATCCTGGTGGTGGCAGCAGTTCATCTTCCATACTTGATGGGGAGATTATCTACTCTAAGAACAATGTCTGCGTCCATCCACCTGAGCTGCTACAAGGCATCGGGGAGCATCATCCAGGTGATAGGGTGTTGCAGACACTGCTCACTCACTCTTTTTTCTCTCCTGGGGTGTGTGTTTGTTTCAAATTCTACATTTTGGGCTCTAAAGAATGAAGAGGTGCCAGTGGGGGACAGGGCAAGGCAGTCTTATGGAAGACTAAGGAAAGCCATCCACAAGGTGATCCATCAGCTCTTCTTTTAGCAGGAAAATTGATGATATTTCTCCTTTCTCTTCTGGTCTAGCATGGATTTACCTGTTTTAGTGAGTCCTTTTGTATTGCCAGAAGATGGGCTGTTGTCATTTGAGGACAGTAACTTCTGTTGCTCTTTCAAATATGCGTCTTGTTCAGGAAAGCCAAGTATCATCTTGTAACTGTCATTGCTAGAGTGGCCTCGACAACCATTGGTAAAGAGAAAAAAAAGAAAACCTGCTTGTGGCTGCATGCAGTGGAGTAAATTAAGATAAATACTGCCCTGTGCCTTTATTCTCATCTGTTACTGCACTCTTTCATGTTTTCATCAGAGAGCTGTGGCTACTGGCTTAGCTTCACAGAACTGATTATTCTGTGAACATTGACCCATGCTTCCTTCTTTGCATGCGTGACTCTTTTTTTTCCTATTGGCTTCCCATGAAAATTGTAGCCCTTTAGCTACACTGAGGTAAATCTTCTTGAGAAAGAAATGTTTAGCTGGCACTTGAAATTGTTTAACTAACAAACAGTAGAAGTTTTGCATGTGGCAACATATTTCAGCATTTACTCTTGATTAGTAATCCGTCCAGGAAGTTGAAGTAATTGCATGTCATTTCTATGTCCACTTAGGCCGGAGGGAATTTAGACTATTCAAAAGCCATATGCAGACTTGAAATTATTTGTAAATACTGAATAATGTTGAGCACTCCACAATTCACTTGGCAGAACTCTCTCCTGGTAAATGGAAGGGTTTGTTTTGTCTGTGTGTAATGGTGATGAAGCGAGGGGAGATGGGGATGGGCAAATTTCAGGCTTATGCAGTTTCCGAAGCATAAAGCTGTGTCGTAACTGATTGCTCCTTTACTCTCTCGAAGGCTATTTGTGCTTGTACATGGAGAAAGATGAGCTACTCGGGACCACGCTTATCCTTGCCTGGGTGCCAAACTCCCGCATTCAGAGGCAGGATGAAGAAGCCCTGCGCTATGTCACTCCTGAGAGTTCCCCTGTCCGTAAAGCTCCCCGCAAACGCGGCCGCCACACTCAGGGTTTCGGCATTGTCCGGCAGGCTTCCCCCACCGAGCAGAGAGGGGCAGTGATCCTGAAAGGAGAAGACATCTTGACTGTGTCACAGCTTGTGAAAGATGTGGCTTACATCAGCTCCCCCTCTTCGGACGGGGAGAAGCTCTCCCAGTGCTGCCCTGCGGCAGACGGCACCCACCGGCCCCCCCAGCCTGCCCGCAGTGACTCAGGAATCCTATCGACAATCAGTTCTCAGGAGGAGCAGAACAGGTCGGAGCTGTCGGTGGAGGGGACGGAGGAAGGTCTGGACTGCAGACCAGAGCCAGGGGAGGACGAGGGCTCTTTGGAGCTGTCTGTCGATGACGTGAGCAGGGACAGTACTTTTGACTCTGATTCTGATGCCTTCTCTTCCCCCTTCTGCCTCTCTCCCATTAGTGAAGCCCTCGGGAAAAGCAGTAGTTCTGTGTTTCTGGATAATGAAAGCAGGTGAGTGCATCCTTTTCTCTAGTTTCTGGGTGAATAGCTGGAGTGCTGGTTGCTGAGCTTTGAGATGCTGAAGGAAACTGAGAAGCATCACAGTGGCATTGAGCTGAATATCCTGTCTTGCTTCAGACACCTGTGTAATTCACAGGAAATGGTTTGCCAGCCAGTCCTGCTTCTGCTCAGTGAACCCTGGCCCTGAACATTCAGGGCTGTATATGTACAGTCTTTCAGGTGAACTATCTTGAGCCCTGGAAGCAGCATTACTAAATTAAAAAGGTCCTTTGTTGGTCTAATTGGCTCTGCTGAGGAGATGTGCTAGTTCCTTCTTGTGCAGAGCCACATCAAAGTGTCTGCCTGACTTCCTCTGAGCCATGGGTGCAAGGCACCCTGTTGACATGAAGTCTGCATGTATGAGCTTGTTTTGCTGGTGTTCGGAACGTGGTCCCACTTAAGACATATAAATATTAATTTTTACCTGTCTAACCTGGATATTTTAGTCAACGCTGGTATATCTAAATATCAGCGCTTCTCAATGGCATGTGCAGTAAACTCTACGTAGGGGAAAGAGGGCACCTTGGCGAAGGAATAATGAACGGTAGGATACCTACATCACTTACTGTAATGATATGCAATGTTTCTGGCTCTCTGGTCTGTGTGGTGTATCACTCATTTCCATCTTGGGGAGGATGGGTGTGCTGCATTTGTGAAGCACCGTGGGCCTGATTTTAAGGATATAGCTGAACTTTGAAACCATGCCTGAAATTAGGAAAAACAAGTTCTCATTTGTGCCTGTCAGCAATGTACAGACTACGTTACGACTTGACATTTGAAGAGATTTTGCCTCTTTATTTTATGGGCTAATCTCAAGCCCAGAGAATGCCAGTAAGGACCAGGTTTATGAAGGAAGTATGCTGATTGATTCAACTCTCTCTGGATATTTTAAAGCACTTCAGTGCGGTGATCTCAGACTTTGTATCAGCTTTGCATTTGATATGTGTCCTAGCAGCATGCTTCTAATTAACTGCGAGCCCACGGGGTTTTCTGGGCTTGAGCTCTGCAGCAGCTGGGTGGGCAGCGGTTTGAGCAGCGCCTTGGCCTGGCCAGCACGGCTGTCCCGTCCCGTCCCATCCCACCATCCCACCGCAGCTCTCCTCTGGATGTAGAAGGGTGTTGTAAAGGAGCTGCGAGGTGCCCAGGAGGGGCCTTTGGTTTCCAAATTGTGCTGAACAACGTCAGTTTGACAGTGTCCTTCTCTAAATATGATGCCTGACAGTCTTTTTTGACAACTGTTAATAGGAATGTAGGCGGCTTTGGAAACTACATAAACATCATGAAACACACCTTGAAAAAATTTTACAGAGAGGCCTTTACATGATTAAATATCACTCCTAATAACTGTATTTTTTGGTTCCTAGGCTTTTTGTCCCGTTCAGATTGTGTTCTAGCACTGGGCTGCTGCTTGGGGTCGCAGCTTTAGTTGCATACACTTTTGGAGAACGTTGTGTTGGTTTAGAAATTTCTTGACCTTGAGTTAAAAACCAGAAAATCCCCAAATCCACTGCAACCAAAGCCTCTGTTTGTTTAAGGTGTGTAAACTTTTTTTTTTTTTTTTGCTTGAAGCAGCACTGGCAATCTGTGTGTTTGACCTGTCTCTATCACTCTGAAAAAAGTGAAGTTTTCGGGGCTTGGGGGTTTTTTTAAGCATTTTTTTGGTAAATAAAGTATAATTAAAATGCTTCTGTGAACATTTCTGAGTTCCAACAGTAAGATTCTTAAAGGAAAAACATTCTTCTCTTTCAGTGTGTGTGTGTGGAAGCTGTGGCCTCTGCTGTGGCCCAATTCATCTGCTAAAATTATCACCTTCTTATGAAAGACATTTCCTTCTTGCATTGATATCCGTGACCGCATTGGTCACGTCGCTTCTGCTTGTCCTTTAAAGCAAGTGCTGTGGAAGCACGAGCTGGCGTCTATTCCGTGACCTGCGGGACTGTTCGTAGAGCTCCAGCCTCTGGCCAGATGTTGCCCCAAGCTCCACTCATACAATTCCACCACCATCCTTGAGGAAGGGATCATTATCCCCGCTTTAGTGGTTAGAAGCAGGGGTCGCGATGGATATGTTCAGAATAATGTCCGAACTACTGAAAAGCAGGAGAATGAACTCACCCTGGGGAAATCTCAGTCCTTGGCCTGGGCCGTGAGGCCACATGCTGTCCGAGGTGTGCAGCAATCTCGGAGAGCTTTTGCACCCAACAGCGTGTGCCGGCAGAGGAGCTGGTGCAGAAGGGTGCCGGCGCGGTGCTCGGAGGCACGGCAAGTGGGCAGGGAGCGTTGTGGTTTAACTGTTTTGCAACACTTACGCTCTGAGCTGCTAATAGTGTCAGGGAAGGAAGGAAATAGAGTTTATTGGATCTCCGCTACCTTGCCTGTGAGTTCATGCAGCATTTCCCTGTTTCGCAGCCTGGCTCGGGCGAGCCCTCTGCCGGCTTTCCTCGCGTGCTGCTGGAGTCCTGACAGCTCCAGCAAGCAGAGGCTGGCTTTGCAAACACTGCTCATGGTCCTAGTAGGCATTTCTTTTTTCTTTTTTTTTTTTTTTTTTTTTTTAACTCCTCTGGCACCAGTCTGGAAGCCTCGACCAGTATATGTGGCACTCATAATTTGCAGCAGATGAATAAAACAGACCTTTCATTGTTTGGGACTTCAGACTTGAAAGGCTTTTGTCCAGTGTGTCCATTTTTTATGCCAATTTGTTCTTCCCCGTAGGGCCCCCTTGCATGATATCTGCAGGATCTTACAAACTGAGTCAGAGATTTTGCATAGAATACTTTGCAAAAATCCTGTCCAAAAGCGTTCTCTTATTCCCCGCGTTCATCCCAGCGTTTTGGGGGATGGGGGATGCTGTTTCAGAAGTCACTACAAGCATGAGAACAGCTTCCTTGTTTCTCAAGCGGGTTTTTTTGGTTGTGTGTGGTTTTTTTTTTTTTTTTTTTTTTTTCCCCCTCTTGGCTTCTTCCCCTTTGTGCCAGATTTGGGGGGCAAAAGATTTGGGT